GTTATTGCTGTATGGTGAAAGTGAAAAAAGGATAAAAGTAGAAGAGAATATGAAAATTGAGGGGAAACGGGAGGTTGTGTTTTACAGACGTCAGGTTTTAACTTGCGAAAGACAATTCATGAAATTCAAGCATATCATTTATAGAATTATTTTTCTTGATTAGTTTGCGATTTTATCTGTATTGCTTTACTGAAAGGGCGGTATGCGTGAGATGAACTGAAAGCTTAGTAAACAATGGTCTATGTTTGATGCGTTGGTATATATTTTTGGGGATAATTGCCTAATGAGAACGTTGTAATGATAACTGGAAAAGGTCCCACAGGTTGATATGTTTCTTTAATGGATTAGTTGCGAAGATTTTCCTGTTGTTGAATGTGGTCATAGTTGTTGGAAAGATTTAGTAAGAAAAGTGGTATTGAACGAGTTACGATGATTAAGATCAGATTGAGACCCTGTTAGTATAGGATTTTTGCTTTCTGACAAACAAGGAAGCTGACAGGATTTTGTTTAAAGAAGTAAACAAAGGAAACAATTGTACTTTGTTTTTTTTTTTATTTCTTTTGAAAATTGCTTTTGTTTTTTTTCCTTATATGAGCAGTTTAAATTTCATAGGAGTCTAAAAAAAAGTACTGTTCGAAAAACAGAAAAGTTGTGGCTTTTTTTTTTTCGAATACTTTGAACCTATATATATACATAAACGAGTTTTTGATTTTGAGCAGGCTTTCGCTGCGTCTATTGCTCTTAATATTGTTCGCTCCTTTTTCGTTTCATTTCTTTCTTGTTCAGCTTTAGCGGCGATGGAGGGAAGGGAAGAAGTACGCAAATTCTGGAGTTTACCAGTTGGCCTTCTAGTTGAAATTTATATGAAATAAATAATAGTGTTCTCTTTGTGTTCGGGTCGGACTGGGATTGGCCAGATCAGCAGAATCAGGAGGAACCAGAGAACAGTAGATAAAAACATACGAAAAATGTTGACCTTTTTGGGTGCTTAGAGAGATTGTTGTAGGTGTAACTACGTATTCCTTCACATCGGTTCTTTGTTATGACGAGCGCCAATCTGAGCTCTCATTTCTCCCCCTTATCTTCCTCTTCCTCCTCTTCTAATCTGTGTCTTTTTCTGCACTGCTTACGTTTATTTTTGGATACATTTGTTTCTTTTTTTGATTTTGAATCTTATAGCAGTCTTAAAAGAAGGATAAATCTTGGAAAAAAATAGGAAAAAGACAAACCGCACTTTTTGTCGTCTATATTTAACCGTTTAGTCATTGCAAATGAAGGCGAAGGAATAAGGTAATTAAGAATCAGTTATATCTCTATTTATGGTTAGCTACAATTTTGTTTTTTAGTTTTTTGAACTGTAAACGATAACAAGATGTAGTTTGAATGGACTGTTGAATTCTTGGGGTATTTTTAAGTTTTTGAAGCAAAATTATTGTATCTCTTTTATAGCGATTAGTTGACCGTGTTCTGATTTTTTGCTATTGTTAGGAGGGAGAAAAAAGGTTATAATTGAGGTACTGAAAAATTGGCTAAAGAGGGAGGAGAAAAAAAAAATTAAGATGTTTAAAGAGGTAAGTTCTTGTAGGTAGTGGTGTCGGTGATGATCGTGCTAGTAGTGGTTAAATAGTGAGGTCGATGAACTGCCACTGTAATTTTTTATGTTTCTTGTTCTTGTTCTTTATTGGGAAAAGTTTTTGAAAAAAAAAATTTTTTAAAACATTTT